TATACAGATACGAAACTTAAGCTTAGTCTCAGAGATAATGTGTCAAGGAACGTTATAATAATTTTAAATCATGTACGAAAACCTTCTCTAAGGTTTCTGAAAATCTATGGTTTAACGTTTGAATGTACTGAAGTAGATTGAGACGTATTAAAGTGTCCAAGGAACTAGTCCTTAACAACATAAGAGAAGTAAAAATTTGTCCAACAGAGGGGTTCAAATGCAATCAATCATATAAAAGACAAACCAGAAACCAAAGTCAAAATTTCAATTCGGGTTTGACACTTTTATCAAGGTCCATCAGTACGAAGTTCTTGTATGAGAGAGAGAGAGAGAGAGAGAGAGAGTGCGTGTTAAAAATCTGCTAAATTTGTTTAATTTTTTCACTAGCAAACAAAATGTCTGCACCTTTGATAAGAAAAAGAAATAGATTATTAAATATTTGAGGGTAATAAGGCAAAGATGTTTACCATGGGTCCGCTTGCAACATAACGGAAACCAATTGACTCTCCATAATCTTTCCAGAAGGCAAATTTTTCAGGTGTGACGTACTCTTTGACAGTAAGATGCAATGGTGTTGGCTGCAGACAAGGAAAGGCAGTAAATTATTGCAGTTTTGAAAATATGCTTCAAAAGGTCTAAAGCCACAGTCTGTGGCCTAATGAACGAAATTAATATTTTAAGCACCATAGCTAAGGAATCCCTAAGGAAAAGGGAAGAATACTGTTTTTCCCTTTTGGGTTAACAATCAAGAATATATTTACACTGCACTTTGAATTCGCCTCCAGCTATTCCAAAATGTCAAATGAGATTTGCAAGACCAAGTTGTAACAATAATAGTTGTTAACTTATCAAATATATAAGAAAATGAAGTATTGGCATGGCCAACTAAATTCATACGGTTCTTGCATAAAGAAACAATCGTTGTCAGTCGTAACTTCCTAAAGTTCCTAACGCCAGATTTATTTACCACCGAGAACCTAGCTATTTAAGCCCTCGGCATGTCAACTCACCTGTAAATATTGTCCAAGCGTCAAAATGTCAACATCTGTGGCCCTTAAATCAGCCATGGCTTCCTTCAGCTCATCATCAGTTTCACCTAGTCCCAACATAATAGAAGATTTTGTTACCATCCCTTGCTTGCTGAGCTTTGCATGTTTCAGAACAGATAAACTCTGTTCATACCTGTACCATGCAATCAACTAGCTTAGCATAGCATCACTCAGACAAAAATACGGACTAAACCCTGGATTTTAAGTGAAATGTATTAGCTTTCAGCATAGAAATGAATTATTTTCCCAACGATGGTATTCTACACTGTCTTCGACGCCTAACCATTTATAACTGAAGAGGCTGCTGCATCAGCAGATTTTGAATTACAAAAAGTTCAAAAAACGATTCACTTTATCTCAAAGCAGCGAATTTGAGATAGGCCCCAATAAGTTTAGTATGAACACTAGGGTAAACAAACTTAGAAACAACTTGATAAGATTATGACGAGACTGACATTAAAATAGTTGGGAAAATGGAACTTTCAAAGTTAAAACCAAGCATAAACAAATTAAATAATGGTCCTTTGAGCAGGAAGTACAAGAGTGATCACAAAATTTGATTAGTTTTCAGTTTGTATTTTCGAGGAGGCTTCAGGAAAAAACTTGATACAAAATATCTAGATTCCCTGAAGATTAAATGCCATACATTAAGAGGCCAATTTTGAACTTGGCTGAATTAATGGAATAACTTCTGAACCACTTACCCAGCCCTAGGATCTCTAACAATACGCTGCAGTCGTTTCACAGTTTCAATATTGTGAGCGAAAACCTCTAACCCAGAGTGTACTAGAGTGGATACGGCATTTAGATCACCTCGGAAATCAGAAGTTAAACACTCAACCATGATATCAGGCTTCAGCATCTGCAAAAAGATTCATATTGCAAGTTAGAAGTATGCATTCTAGTCTAGTTAGTGTAAACATAAGTATGTACATATGTCACATTTATACATTATTAGCATCAAATTATACTTGTGTATCTACAATATATGAAGCATGTACATTATTCCATATAAGCTGAAAGCAAATCAAGTTTCATGAACATAGAAATGCTCATACCTTCATGGCTTTGACTGTTTCAGCAAAATGGCTACTGCCACCATCTGGTAAATCATCACGGTCAACACTAGTTAGAACAATATAATCCACACTGCAACATGAAAATCAATGCAGTATTCAGTCTCTACACACATTTAAAGTCAAACATTTTAAGTAATATGACTTGTGAGCTAATGTAGGTCTAAACTAATGGCTCGCATGAATATCAAGCGTAGTTCAAGGAAGAGTTGACACAGAGAAGTAAAAACTCTCGATAGTGGAAGAGTTTTTGACCATTCCAGGCTTTGATGAGAAAAACTGGTAATAGTATTCTGGTATGCCCTATCAAAAGACTAAACAGAGGACTCAAAGTAATCATTTTAAAAAGAAAGCAAAGAAAATAAGATAC